CAGAAAGGGCAGGAAAGGTTTGGAAGGGAAAGCCTCACTACAGGCCTAAGTCTGCATGGTACCAAGAGGAGGTATGTCTCCCATGTTCTGGAAATGATGCAGACTTGAATGTTGACGTCAGAGACCTAGTTACAGACAATTGAGAAGGGGATTAGCAGCACATTGCTCTGTTGAGGTTAGGTAGAGGAGAAAGAACACCAAGAGAAAGGTGCCACTCCTGCCACAGAAAACTCGGTGGAGAAGGGGCATTTAATCCAAGCAGATCTATAACAAGTGTGGCCAAGAGGAGTTGGTAACATGTAAGACAGCACCTAGCATACAACAGGCACTTAGTAAGAATAAAGACTTAGCAGGGACTCCCCTCCCCAGTCTATGGAGCGCAAATGGAGGGCCTCACAAAAGAACCATGAGGCTGAGTACAGGAGCAGATACAACATGGCCCATATCTAGCGTGAGCAGACAGATCGGGGTAGAAGAATAACCTACTCATAAACAAAAGCATAGCCTGCTGAAAAGGGCACTGAGAGCCAAGATTAGAAGGCAGAGTCCCAGTATACAGATGGGCAAACTGAATTCAGCTAATGGAAAAGGACTGGCCCTGGAAATCTCTGCGCATGAAGCTAGAGGAAAATGTAGGCCTGGCTACAATGGAGCTAAAATCAAGAGTGAATACACTCAAAATATGCACCAACAACCCAGATAACCTCTTAGTCCCAAAGGGTTCCCAGGCTGTTTGGTGTGGTAAATTGACTCTAGCTGGAAGCCTGACTCTTCCCACTGTCTCCCTCTCCACACCCCCTTCTCTCTCTTTCTCCCTCCCTTCCCCCTTCTCCTCTTTCCCTCCTTTGCTATCTTCCCAGAACCCTGCCCTGCTAAAGGGGGAAAGCATCAAAAGAAAATGCCTTATTACAAAGCAGCCTCTGTTCATTGCCTTGGCTGTTGTTAGAGGGGCAGGGAAAGGTTCTGCCTCTGTGCATGCTTACGTGGGCTCAGGAGGGTACCGATGAGGCAAAGTTTGGGACTCAGCTACATATATCTGTCTTCTCTTTGTCTCTTCACATTCAGCATGAAACCTAGAAATTAGAAGTGCACAGTGAGATGCACCATGTTCACCAGCACTGTCAGATAAATAGCAACCGTATTTTCAGGTATGATATATTCCACATGTTGCATGAGATATAGATATATATTTATATGCACTTTATCATTTAGCACAGATACTTAAATAAGTTTCCTCTAATTTGAAGTCCTACAATGATCTTCTCTTTTTAAAACTTTTCTCCACCCCACTTATTGAAAACAGATTCTTTTCAAGTTCACTATAATCTGAATACAATTTCTCCTGACTCCCTTTCTCTACTCCTCCCAGCTCCACCCAGTCTCTTTCATCCAGGTCCACTTCCTTTCTGTCTCTCATTTTAAAAAACAGGCTTCTAAGATATAACAACAAACCACAACAAAATAAAATATAATAAAACAAAAATAAAGAATAATGTTTATTATTGTATCTTGCATTCTATTTTCTCCACGTGCTAAGTGCTGAGATTGTAGGCATGAACCACCAGTCTTGGCTAAGAGGATTTGGGGGGGTGGGTTCTATTGTTTTTTAAATTGATCAATTTGTTTTTTAAATTTCATTTTACATTCCAACCACAGTTCTGCCTCCCACCTCTGCTCACACTCCCCATGCCTCCCCACAGCAGCCCACACCTTCTCTACTCCTCCCGAGGGGTAAGGGCACATTAATTTGGGGCAGTACCAAGTCCCTCTTTCCTGCATTAAGGATAGCATCACATCTCAACACAGAGAATGGGCACCAACAAACAAGGCTGAGCACCAAGGATAGAACCTGATCCCACTGATGGGGGCCCCCTCAGATAGTCCAAACTTCACAACTATCTCTCCACATACAGAAGGCCCATCTGAGTCCATCAATTACTGGAGAAGCCTCTATAATGATAGTTGGGGTAGTCACCAATCTGATAATAGGGGAAGGCCGGTTCAGGAACCCTTTCCACTACTGCTAGGAATCTTAGCTGGGATCATCCTTGTGGATTCTTGGGAATTTCCCTAGCACCAGGTTTCTCCCTAAAACCATAGTGACTCTCTCTATCAAGTTCCCTCTTACATTGCTTTCCCACTTCATTCTCTATGACCATCCTGTTCCCTCATGTTCTCCTTCCCCATTGCCTCTCCTTCACCACCTCCTCACCCCCAGTTTACCCAGGGGATTTCATCTAATTCCCCTTCCCAGGGCGATCCATGCATCCCTCCTTGGGGCTTCCTTGTTACCTAGCTTCTCTGGAGCTCTGGATGGCAGCCTGGTTACCCTTTGCTTTACATCTAATATACACTTAGAAGTGAGTGCATACTATGTTTGTCTTTCTGAGTCTGGGTTACCTCACTCAGAATTTTTTTTCTAGTTCCATCATTTAACCTGCAAATATCATGATGTCTTTTTTTCTGAAATAACAATAATACTCTATTATATAAGTGGACAGCATTTTCTTTATCCATTATTATATTGTGAGACATCTAGGTTGTTTCTAATTTTGGGCTATTGGGAATAGAGTGGAAATGAACATGGAATAGCTAGTGACCTTCTGGGAGGTTGAAGTGTCCTTGGGGTATATGCCCCAAGTGCTATATGTGGAATATGAGGTAGTTTGAGTCCCATCTGGAGTACAAGTATTGAAGAGATCAGGATACAAGGAACCTATCTAAACACAATAAAAACAATTTACAGCAAGCCAACAGCCAGCATCAAATTACACGGAGAGAAACTCAAAGTGATTCCACTAAAATTAGGAAGAATACAAGGATGTCCACTCCCTCCGTATCTTTTCAATATAGTATTAGTTGACCTAGCTAGAGCAATAAGACAACAAAAGGAGATCAAGGGATACAAATTGGAAAGGAAGAAAAGTCAAACTTTCATTATTTCCAGATGATATGATAGTACATATAAGTGACCACAAAAACTCTACCAGAGAACTCCTACAGCAGATAAACACCTTCAGTAATGTGGCAGGATACAAGATCAACACAAAACAATCAGTAGCCCTCCTATATAGAAATGATAAAATAAAGAGAAAGAACTCACAGAAACATCCCTTTTTGCAAGAGCCACAAATATAAATTATCTTGGGGTAGCTATAACTAAGCAACTGAAACACCTATATGACAAGAACTTTAAGTCTCTAAAGAAAGAAACTGAAGAAGATATCAGAAAATGGAAAGATCTCCCACGCTCATGGATGCTCTTGCATAGGTAGGACCAACATAATATAAATGGCAATCTTACCAAAAACATTCTAGAGATTCAAAGAAATGCCCATCAAAATCCAAACACAATTGCTCACAGACTAATAGAACAATATTCAACTTCATGTGAAAAAAAAATTACAATAGTTAAAACAATCCTGTACAATAAAGGAACTTCCAGAGGCATCACCATCCCTGAATTAAAACTTCACCATAGCACTGTAGTGATAAAAACAGTTTGGTATTGGCATAAAAGCAGACACATGGACCAATGAATTAAATTAAAGCCCCAGGTATTAATTCCTCTGGGCAATGTGCCTTGCCTTCTCTGAGGAGTAGATGAAGGTTGGGGGGACGGGTAAGAAGAGGGAATGGGCTGAGGAGAGGGAATAGAAACTTGGATGGTATGTAAATGAAAAAAATAGATTGTTTTCTTTTTAAAAATACTCACTTTTCTAACTCATCTGAACATACATGAAATATTTATTTAATGATTTTGTATATTGAGACATATACTAGGTGATGTATGAAAAGAGGACATATTTCAGAAAACCTCTCATTTTTGAAACTTACAAAGCATGCGGTGAGATACATAAACATGCAGAAAGTGACAGCACCTTAGGGTTTTGTGAACCAATAGCTACCGCACATTTAGTTATTGCCGTAAATGGAGTGATGGACAGTATTGGCAACGTTAAGAAACAAAATGAGCAGCCTGACCAAGATTATAAAAACTGCCTTTCAAGCCCGGAAACTAAGGCGTCTTTTAAAAGAGAAAGGAGGTATGCTAGAGAGGGTTTCAGGAAGCTACCCATACTCTCAAATATGACCGCATATCAGCAACATATTATTATTAATTCCCCATGATACTGGCATGTTGAACCACCTGCAGGTAAAGTTGAAGTAAAATTGATGGGACTGAGTAATTCAAAGTATCCTTCATTGTTAGCTTACCATGCTTCAAAGAATATAAGGTTTGTTCTTATAATTGTTGTTGTTATTATTTTTATTGTTATTAGTTTTCCTTTGATTGAAAATAGATTGTTTTCTCATGCAACAAATGTCCCAAGAATCCTATCAAAGCACTAAACTCAACCTGGAATCCAGTATGCTCAAAGGACCTGATGCAGACCCTTTGCAGAGACTCTGAACGTTGGCGCGGTTCCTCTGACTTCACAAGGGCTTTGATGAAGCTGTTACCAGGTGTGGGGATGTAGCTCAGAGGTAGAGCACATGTTTCGCATATATGGGGCCCCGGGTTTGAGCCCCGGCATCTCCAAAACAATACTTTTAACCTTTGATTTCCTTTTTTCAGGATGTTTCTGTACAAGGTGTCCCAGAATTTAAAGTCCCGTGATGAGGTTATATATGCATAGCTAATTATTGGATAAAATTGCTCATTTGTCACCGTGACAGCAATGTTCATCTTTGTGACGACATTTCCATAGATACCACCATGGTCTGGTGAGTACAATGTGGTCGGGCTTTTAGGGATATGCTTTGTTCACAGAGCGGAAAAAAAAAGAAAAGCTCTGCATTCGTAGTGGGGACAGTTTCTCTAATGGGTATGCTTTCTTGGGTGAAAACAAGGGTGAAGAGTTCTTCCTTTGAGAGGAAGTAAGGGAGGGCTGGGCGGAGCCATTCCTGGTTACTAAAGGGGGAGGCAGCATTGCGGTTGTCATAGAAACCGGGGTCATTATGGCGACTCTTTTCAAATGGCGACCTGACGATGTCCTGGAAAGGAGCATTCAGTTCCTGGTGTTTGGACTGAGTTGAGCTTATGGATTCCCGGAGGTGAGCACCAGAATCTTTCTGAGGGTTGGGAGGCAGATGCAGGGATTCCAGACCCAAGTAGGACCACTCCTACCTCGGGGTTTGCAGCCTGTGTTTCTCCGGAAGGAGAGAGACTTGGGACCATTCTGCCTCCTCCTGTGCTGTTCTGTACAGGGCTGTGCTGGAGCCATTGTCCAGGAGGGGAGTTGTCGGAGAGTGAGCAGGAGGGAAATGAGGCCAAATGAGCACTCTGTGATCCCGACTTCCCACTCTGTGCGTGAGATTGCTCGCTGACATTTGAGGTTTTCCGTATGTTTCATAGAAATGTTAGAAATGTTTTATCAGATATGTGTATTTCTAACTTTTCTCCTAGCCTCAGACTTATCATCTCAATTCTCATCCATGTCTTTGGAAGAGCGGGAGATTTTCAATTGTAAGATCCCACCTTCTCTAGTTCTTCAATTACGGTTTTTATTCGGTGTCTTGTCTGCGAAATCTTTGCCTGGCACTCAGTGACAGGGATTTTCTTCTTGTGTTCTGTTTGACATTTATAGGCTGATTTTTATATTTTTACATCCGTAATTTATTTTGAATGGTCTTCACATATGATACGATGTAGGTCCTTGTTTATATTTGTGGGTATGGATATACACTTGCCTCAGTATTGCTTCCTGAAAGGCCATCTTTATGCATCAAATTGCCTTGTTTATTTGTGAAACATCAGTTCTCCAATTATCCAATCATGGTACATATGCCAGTAATCCCAGTGCCTGGGAGGCTGCAGCAGGAGTATGGTCAGTTCTTCTCAGCACACACTACACGCACTACACACAAGCTTGATGCCAGCATCAGGTACAGGAAAAATGTTGACTCGATATAAGCAGTGGTCTGCAAATGTGTGGATGTGAGCGTGGAATGTTGGTTTTGGACTTTTTCTTGCCAACTTTGATTCAATAGCATGCTGGTCCAATTACTGTAGGTTCAAACAGAGGTCTCCTATCAGGCAATGCTGTTCTCTAACATTTGTCTGTTTCTAAGGTTTACACAAGCTATATATTTAGTCTACAATGTTTAGAGTTATCCAATCAATTTTTAAAAAGAATAAGTGCTATTTTGTTGTTAGTGCATCCAATCTGTAGCTCAGTTTTGAATCAACAGAAATCTTACTAATAATGAATTGTTTGAGCCGCGAACATAGTTGTCCTTCATTAAGACAGGTTGTCTCCAATTCAGCAATGTTTGGAAATCTCTCGGCCTATCAGCACTATGGATCTATCTGTCGGGATAATGCACAAATATTTGTACTTTTTGATTCATCTATAACTGCTATTATTTTTTAAACAAATTTATACATATTGTTTTTTCTGTGAACAAATTATTAAATCTTCTGTAAACTGTCAGGAAACAAGTGTCAATGAAACTTACAAAGGATATTTTTTGTTGAAAGCATGGATTATCCCATGATGAAAACGTTATTTGATGTGTAATGCAGTTTGTCGTTAAATTCTTATCGGCATTTACAGGTTATTATTGACAGTCTGAAACAAATGAGAGAAATGTCCCAGAGACAAATCCATGGCCATCGTCACAGGAATCTCATTCAGACCACATAATTTAGTAGCTCTCACCATCCTGTGTGTGGTCAGAGATGAGTCTGTTGTAACGTGATTGTACCCCTTGAGCTCTCAGTAAATACCAGGAAGCTAGGAGAGTGAGAATGAGAGGTGTCTGTGTGTGTGTGTACAGGAATTCCTTGGCAGAGGCTGGTCTGCCAAGCCTGGTTGATTGACTCTTAGACCTGCAGTGATATGGAGATGGTGGAAGTCGCAGTCCCAATGCCTAATTACAGTTTCCTTTGTGTTCTCTTGAGCCCATGAGTAGCCACGCCTTGGGCCCCCTGTGTTGGACTTACCTAACACCTTGTCACTAACAGATGACGTTGGACCTGACATTTAAAATATCAGAATATGTCTCCTTAACAAAGCTCTAAGCTTCTGCGAGTCAAAGTACTGTGTGTCATCACATAGCAGCTAGTAGCTGAGGTTTCTCTGCTTTACCATAATAGTCTACTTAATGTTATCTCCAATGCACTGAAGGAGAGTCTATAGTTTCTTCATTCTGTTATTATAAAAACTTCATGAAACTGTTTCCACATTGTAACATGCAATTTGTACTAACATAAACCTGTCTCAATCATGTTTATTCACAGATATTTGATTCCAGAATGAACTCACTTCTTCCTTCGAGGTGAGAGCTGTGTGTTTACATTGACAATTGTTAGTGTGTGTTGTGTATATACTCATGCTTGTGCAGATATCTCCCTGGATATATATGTGTGAATGTTAGTTAATCACTTACTGCTGTGATAGGTTATGTGTTATAATTCTCCTGGTCCTCTTCAATGATTACCTGGTGTGTAGTACACTGCTTACTTATCTCCATATTTCTTTACTCATGTGCTGACTTATATCAGTATGGCTCAACACCCATTTTCCTAAACTGTTTTCATCTATTGCCGTTCTCTATTTCCATGCTCCATTTGTCCCAGTATTGGCTAGAGGAATCCATTTAAGATGGCATCAATGAATACCGCAAATTCACCTTAAGCTTAGGAGCTCACAGCCCTGCTTCAGGGAAAGTTTGCCCCAAATTAACAGCTCTGCTCTGGTAGGGGAGGGTTACCCCAGCCAGGTTGTTACAGCTCTGCTTAGATCCTCAGAAGAGTAACAACTCTGCTCTGCTAAGAGAAACTTTTCCAGTTCTGCTCCCCTCTCCTCCGCTTGGCTCCAGTTGAAGTCATTGCTTCTCTGTTCTTCTTAGGCAAAGAAGGTCTTACCCAAGCCTCATTCAAGAGATTCACTGGGAGGGAAGAGTCCAGGAGGTGGCTGACCCTGCAAGAGTGTGAAAGGCAGCTACCAACTGAACAGGTACAGGGTGGTTTCATGCTCAGTGATTAGCTTGTTTTCCTGCTCTGGGATTGGTTCCTTTTATGCTGAGAGATTGGTTAGTTTGTTTCGCTGAATTGGTAAGTGGAAGAGTGTGTTTCTGTGGCTTTGGTTTCAGGGGCAAAGTGTGTTTATTTCACTGGCCTTTTTAAAACGTTGGGCTCTGGTTTCAGGGCCAGTGAATTGATTCTAGTCTCAGGGTCAGTGTATGTTTCTTTTGCTCTGGTTTCAGGATCAGGGTGTGCTGCTTTGGACAGAAAGGGGTGTTGTTTCCCCTAGAAACAGATATGCAGTCCATTGTGGGCCAGCAAGTGAGTGCTGAGAACCCAGCCCAGGTCTTCTGTAAGAACAGCAAGTCCTGTTAACCATGGGGCAATCTCTGAAGTCCAAGTCACCAAATATAAAACGTAATTTGTATTTTTCCACTTTTCCCCATAATGACAATAGACATCTTCTTATACTCAGGTAGGTATAAGTTTCATTATTATTTACCAATCCATAAAGTTTCTTTATGATACTTAGGTTCTCATACCCAACCACTGCCCAACCCTGTCTGCAGAAAAATACAACAATCTGATATTATAGACAAATTTATATATGCTGGAATGTATTAGGATAGAACCAGAGTTTAGAGACATCTGGCCTTCATTCATCTTGAATATATGTTTAAATTTATCTCTTTTGTTGCCCATGATAATTGTTCATTCTTAATATTAAATAGTGTAGCATTGTATAGCTACACGGCAAGTTTTATAATTTAGTTTATTTCATGTGTATATATGCTTGCCTACATATAGGTATGAAGAGCGCATGCATGCCTGTTGCCCATGGAAGCCAAGAGAGGATATTGAATCCCTTGGCACTGGAGTTAACAGTTGAAAACTGCCATGCTGGTTTTGGGAAATGTGTCTTTGCCTGTTGCCTGTTGCTGAGGTTGTTTTCAATTTCAGTGTCTTGTATATAAAGCTGTTGTGAACTGAAATAAATAAGTCTTTAAAAGAAAATATGTCCTCTTTCTCCAGGTTATATATTTGGGTTGTGATGGCCAGATGACAATTAACATATGAAGAAACAGAAAAAGATTTTTCCAAGTTATCATCCTGTTTTCCATGGCCACCAGCAGTGGGTATGGGAGAGTCATCCTCCACAAACTTGCCAGGTCTTTGTATGACAAGTCTTTATTTCTGAGTATTTTATGGGGTTGTCTAGAGTCCCCTCAGAGTCACCTGTTGATGGAGGAAGGTCATTGGCTAATAAAGGAACTGCCTTGGCCCATTTTATTGGTTAGAAGATAGGTGGGAGGAGTAAACAGAACAGAACGCTGGGAGGAAGAGGAAGTGAGCTCAGACTCCACAGCTCTCCTCTCGGGGGCAGAAGCCTCAGAGAGACGCCATGCCCCGCTCCTGGGCAGACACACGAGATGAAGCTCCGACCTAGAATCTTCCCGGTAAGACCGGTGCTCACAGATTATTAGAGATGGGTTGATCGGGATAACAGAATTAGCCAGTAAGGGCTAGGACTAAAGGGCCAAGCAGTGTTTAAATGAATACAGTTTCCGTGTAATTATTTTGGGTAAAGCTAGCCGTGGGGGCGGCCGGGTGCCGGGGACGCAGCCCCGCCGCCCTTATTACTACAACCTGTCTCTCTTCCCTAAGTGTTAAGGATGTTGCTGCTGTATGTTTCTCTGAGTGGAGCATCTACTCACCCTTCTGGTCAAGTTTTATTTCCTGAATTGTCTATTTTCTTAGTGTCTCCTTTAGAAGCTTTCTGTATTCTGGATAAAAGAAGACTGTCATCTGATATACAATTTCCCACATTCATTTTCCCAGGTAAGAAAAATATGTTTCTATCATATATTTGGAAGAATAGATATTTTCTCACTTTATGGAATTCATAACACTCCAGTTCTTCATTTAATGAAAGGGGGTTTGCCATATCTAAGAAGTTTGTTTGTAATTCATGAACCTGAACATCCAATTGTATTCTGCTACAAGATTCATGTTTAGGTTGTAATTTGGACTTCTTTTAGGTTTATTTTCCCTATTTACTGAGGGTCTGCCTGTATGTCTGTGTGTGCCAAATACACGTTTGAGTGCAGATGCCCACTGAGACCAGAAGAGACTGTCAGTTCCCCTGGATCTGGAGTTACAGACATCTGTCACCCACCATATGGGTGCTGGAAACTGAAGTCAGGTCCTCTGCAATAGCAAAAGGCACTCTTAACTTTTGAGATGTCTCTCTAGTCCTGTGTAGATCATTTGTTCATTCTCGATTGACTTTTGTATCCTGCGATATACGATAGTCTATATTTATATTTGTGCATGGGGAGGTCTGCTTGTCCCAAAATAAGACAGAAAGACAGGGCATTGAAGGGGATATGAGAGGGAACACACAGCCCCTCACCCTGTAATCATTTTTACATTTTCCTGACATTCAAGAGACCTCAAGCCAACTGATAGAGCCAAAATTACCTGCAGATATGATGCAACTATTCCTAAAGACATCCCAAATAATGTTTAAAAATAACAACAAATAAACTAGAGTCTGAAGATAGGGTTCATTCTTTAATATCACTGGATGTCTTCCAGAGGATCCAGGGTTGATACCCAACCCTACCCGATGGTTCACAACTGTCTGTAACTCCAGTTCCGAGAGATCTCATAAAGTCTGGTACTGTCTGTGGGCATTAGGTACTCACGTGGTGCACAGACTTCCCTGTGGAAAAGCATTCAAAAGCAGAAAATAAAAAACGCAGTTATGCTTTCTTAGGGGCAGAATACTTGTAGCCTTGAGATGGATGATGATAGCACTCTATTCTATCGCCTAAGTCACATAATCACCTTACAATTTAATTTACTGAAAGAAACTTTAAAAGGAATAAGCACATTTAAAAGCATTGCTTTTTAGTTTCATTTTTTACTTTTTAATAACCTATTGAATATTTTTTTCCTAATGGAAAAATAGAACCCATTTAAAGAGTAAAAATATTCTTATAGTTAATTTAAAAACCTGAATATAGGCTTTAATGTAATTTAATCTTGAAATTTTCTGAATTACATTCTTTCAGCAATGTAACTTTAGAGCCATAAAAATCCTCCCATTTCTCCCTCTCCCACTGTACCTCCCTCCCTGCCCACCTCACATACCCTTTGCAATGACACCTAATCTCAAGTCTCTCTCCAGTCCACTCTCAGGCCATCATGCAGGAGCCATCCTTATTCTGTGTGAGCTTCTATCCACAGGATTAATAAGCTCACAACCTTTGCTTCATCCTGGCTGTTTCTGAAATTCTTTACTGCTTCCTAGATTCATCTTTACCAGGGTCAAGGTCATCAAAGCGACAGGGTTATCCTCAGGCTGCTGGTCACTGTGCTGGGCTGTACCTCCCTACCACCACCAAGAGTCCCAGAAATCCTCGGTGAAGAGCATATGCCTGCTTCACTGAAGTGTCTTTGAGTCTTTGCTAAAGGTGTCCCCTCACACATGTGTGACACTTCTGTCCCCTTCATATTCTTTTCTGTCTTATTGTCATTTCCAATCAGGCACGCTGTCTACATTTCTCTAGGTTTATAAGGAGTTTGGAAGTCAGGTGTTCATCCTCCAAGTTTGTTCCTTTATAAGGTTGTTTCAAGCTGGGGTTCTTCATATTCACTGTGAGTTTCAGGATAAGCCCATTAGTTTATGAAAAGTCTGTTAGAGTTCTGTTGGTATTGCACTGGATCTATAGGACTGTATGAGGAGAACAGACACCTGTATCTTCCATTGCATGAAGATGATTGTAGCGTGAGTTCTAATTGGTCTTAATAATAAAATCTGGAGTCAGATATTAAGTGGTTGGAGCTATAAGATCAGAACAGCAGAGCAGCCAGACACTAGATCTTTCCTCGACAAAATCCTCAGACCAAATGGAGCATCCTGTCTCTACAAGACCTCAGACTGACTGCCTGGATCTCCTATCTCCTCCCACCTTATATTCCTCTCTTTTCCCAGCCACATTCCTTTCATTCTCCATCTCCCTCGTGCTGGGATTAAAGGTGTGTGACACCAAAGCACTTTGATGAAAGATGTGAGTCACCACTGCCTGAATCTGTTTCTTTTTTAGACTGGATCAATCTAATGTAGACCAGGATGGCCTTGAACTCACAGAGTTCTGTTTCTTAAGTGTTGGGAAAGGTGAGTTCCAACACTGCCTGTCTTCTGTGGCTAACTAGTGGCTATCTGTACACACTGATTCTCAGGCAAGCTTTATTGTCATGGAAGAAACAAAATATCGCCACAGTCGATGAATCTATACATCTTTACTCTCAGCAATGAGTTGTCCCATTCAGTGTCTAGGCACTACAGAGAAGTGGGCAGGGTTTTCCTAATTATTTCATATTTCCTGATGCTATCTCCAGTGACAGGGATTTTAAATTACAGCCTCCACACATTCATTTCACTGTGGTCAGCTGTCTGTGTTAAATTTAGACAGAGTTATTGATGAATCTTTTAGGTTAAAATATTTAATTACATTCTCTATGATGAAAATGTCTTTGATGCAAACATATATTTGCTGTGTTTAAAATTCAGTACTTTGAAGTTGCAAGTGAATTATGAGAACAGAAACAAATGTCCAACACCCAGTTTGGGGGAAAATTTCTAAGGCAGCCACAGGTCAAAGGTTTGCCCCAATGGCATCTTTGGAATCATAGAGATAGTCCTTTACCTCCCAGCTAGCTCCATCAGGGAGGTGCTGAGATCACGGTGGAGAGAAAGAAGGGGATACATGTGAAGAGTTAGGTATGTATGTGTAACTCCAGAAAGGTTTGTATTATGAAGAATACTTAGGTAATTATTTTCAAAATATCTAATATTATTTTCCCCAACACAAAAAGGAAGAGGTTAGTACTCGTGTGTTTTCCCTCTTGTTTTCCCATCCAGTCATGCAGATTTTAGCAGTGTTGCTGTGGACTTGTACAGAGGGGGTGTTTTATGTATGGTTCTTTCCATGTTTATTATAACCATGACGCCTGCTAAGTGTTGCTCTGATACCTACTTCCCTGTGCAGTTACTAGTATACAAGCATTGCTTGTCTTTGAGTAAAGTTTCCCTTTTATCTTTTGTTTATTAATGGATTTACTCATGCGTTTGTGTCTACTCAGAAACACCCATTTCTTAAAGGAGTACTCCTTTGTCATCATTATATACTGTGATGCTTAAATTATCCCATAACATGCCCGTGGGAGTACATTCAAGAGGACCTGCTCTTCATTTGTTATCTGTCTAGAATTCTGGATTATCTGACCACCCCTGGGAAGAA